CAGTCGAGGACACAGCACCTTCTTCCTGTATTTACTTTTGTTGCTCCTGCTGCAGACGCATCTGACCAATAAGTAGACTGAAACCATCTCACATGGTTTGTTGTTAGCTTTTTGGTTAGCTTGGTGTCACTTAGAATTTTATCTTTGTGAAAACAAATCAAACCACTGAAAAAAGCTACAAGTTTACGGGTGTCAACTGACTTGGACCAGAGTAAAAAAAAATTTGTCTGTAAAAAGGCCAATAAATCATGTCATTGTTACTACATCAATATGTTGTATACAATTAATAATAGGGGTTGGGTCTATCCAGTAGACATAAGATTTTACAAAAGGAAAGGTAAAATTTAAATCTTAAACTTTATAACAAAATTTATTTATAATTCTAATGTTTAACTATGCAAAAAATTACCACACACATAATTTGATTCTTGTATGACACGTACAATAAGATTAAGTGCAATACTCTTTTACTGACAAAGTTGTATTTTTACTCAGTTGTATATAGCATTTGTATTCTATTTTTATCCTATTGTATATATTATTTTATTCTATTGTGTATATAGTCCATCCATCTTCATCCGCTTTATCCGGGGCCGGGTCGCAGGGGCAGCAGCCTAAGCAGAGAAACCCAGAACCTCCCTCTCCCCAGCCACCTCCTCCAGCTTATCCGGGGGAACACCAAGGCCAGGAGATATCTCTCCAGCGTGTCCTGGGTCTGCCCCGGGGCCTCCTTTCCACATGGAAAGGAGCCTCCAACTGGCTCCTTTCCATGTGGAGGAGCAGCGGCTCTACTCTGAGCCCCTCCCGGGTGGCTAAACTTCTCACCCTATCTCTAAGGGAGAGGCCAGCCACCCTTTGGAGGTTGCTCATTTCCGCCGCTTGTATCCGCGATCTTGTTCTTTCGGTCACTACCCACAGCTCGTGGCCATAGGTGAGGGTAGGGACGTAGATCCACTGGTAAATTGAGAGCTTGTATATAGTATCCATCCATTCGCTTCCGCTTATCCTTTTCAGAGTCGCGGGGGGCGCTGGAGCCTATCCCAGCTGTCATATAGGGTGAGAGGCAGGGTACACCCTTGACAGGTCACAAGAATACCTGTAAGAAAGAGATGAAGTTGAATTATTTACCTTTACATTTGTACATAGCATTGTACAGCCTGAAACTACTGAAAATCACTAAACCACTCTACATTTTGAGTGTGATTGCATGAGTGTGTGTATGTTGGTCTAAAACATACAATGAAAAACAGAATGCAGATATTACTGACTTGACTGTGAATGCTTGTAAGTCAGGGGTTGGGGTGCAGAGCGAGTTACCACAACTTCCTTTCAAGACGAGCTCTAAAAACATCCTCCTGCGGATTTCAGTGACTAGTTCAGTGGATCAGCACTGAGCCCAGTAAGGTAAATGCATACAATTATTAATATAAAGTCTTAACAGTATGTCCTTAAACTTGTAAATGTGTATATGGTCATCAGCAAACTGAACTTGTTTCTACTCAGCTTACTTGACAGAGAAATGATGATAGATCAGTCATTTGCTTTTATCTTTACTACAAAGCAATAAAAATGTTATGCGTTTGATTCTTGTGAAGGTAATTTAATAATACAGCTAGGGCTGCACAATTAATCGTTAGAAAATCGCAATCTCAATTCATACTCATGTGCGATCTCATTTCCAAAGGACAACGATTTAAAAAACAAACAAACAATGATTGTACCGCATCTTCATCCAGGACATAATCTGCATGAAAACAAGCGCTCGCTCTTCCTGCTCAACAAATGACAAGGGCAGAGCCTTATACCACATGATACAGAAGCCAGCTGACAGGGAAAAAACAACGGAGAGTACGTGAGAGATGACGAAGCTGTAAAAGCCAAGAAAGTGACAGGAGAAAATCCGTCCTTGTCAACCACCCAAACATCAATAACGGGAACCTTATACAGCGCCTCCCCATACCTGTCGAACTCCCGCAGGCACAAAGAAATTACGGAGGCTATTACTTATCAATGGCTCCCATCAACACTGTGCAAAACGAGGGATTTAGGAAAATGATCAACACCCTAGACAAACGCTACACAGTGCCGTCCCACAACTATTTTTCCAGGTTCCACTACCTGCTCGCAATGTCGAGCAACGGTGGAGACAGAATTACAAGCAGTACAACATTTTGCGGCAACGACAAAATGTGAGACATTTATTGTTTTTATGTTTATTTATTGTTTATGTTCAGTCTCAACTGTTACGAAGTTGATGTGCAGTTAATAAGTGCAAGAAATATTTATATTGGAAAAGAAAATCGTGAGAGAATCGTGATCTCAATTCTAACGGTGTGTTCACACCGAACGCGATAGAGGCAGGCGGAGCGTCAGGTTTACATGTAAAGTCAATGGAAAGGCGCGCTGACCCGCGATTGCGGCCCCCGCGAAAATTCGGAAGCGTTTTGGCGTCGCGAAAACGCAAAAACGCCAGAAACGCGCGTGAGTGTAGCGCGTTTCAGGCGTTTGACTCGCGAAAAAATCCACGCGCGTGAGTTAATGTGTTGCATTTTGTGCATACGCGCGTTTCGCCTCCCCCGCTCGAGTTGGAAAAATCTGAACTCCAGCGTAAAATCGCGCCGCGACAACCAATCAGGAGCCTGGTGACGTGGCTGTTACCTAGTTCAAAGGGGCAGATCCAGCCAAAGCCATTCATTCTGCATTCAAAATGGAGGAGAAACTAATCAGTGCTGTGGCAAATCATCCAGAATTATATGATGCTACCTATTATTTCTACCGAGACAGGAATAAAAAGGACCTAGCTTGGAGACAAATCAGTGAGGAGATCGGGCAACCTGGTAAGTTCATTCCTACTTTTTAATTTTCAGACTGACCCGATGAAGCCGCGCAAAAGCTAGCAAGCTAGCAAGCCCGCCTACTGTCCCGCGATTTGCCCACTGTCGTACAAATAGCTTTCCGCTAACCAGATAATGCGTTTATTCTTTCAAAGATACCGGTCTAGCACAACTTCCTCCCACATCCCTCCCACATCCCTCCCACATTTCCGGTTCACGCGCGTGAAAATATGATATTTTGGGGCGCGGGCGATTTTTCTTGGACACGCGTAGAGGTCGCGAATGTGCAGGCGTCAAGTTAGGGGCGTTTTGGCGTTTTTTCACGCGCCCATCGCGTTCGGTGTGAACACACGGTAAGAAAAAAAATCGTGATTCTCATTTTATGCAAAATCGTGCAGCCCTAAATACAGCTGTCTAAATTTTCTGTTAGGGACACTTTTATAGGGACACTTAGCTAATATAATCTTCTATTAATGAAGGCCAAAAAGGAATAAAAACTATAGAGAGGGTTTTCTGATATTCTGCTCCCTTAAATCAAACTTTTAGACGTTGCGAAATAAAATAATAGATTACCCACAAACTGAATATCGACAAGATTTACTGCAGTAGCTGAAAAATCCGCTGGAAAAGGCACAAATGAAATGATAGAATCAGAAGCAGAATACTTTATTAATCCCAAAGGAAATTATAGGTTAGCTATGGAAGAAATATAGTATCATCAAAATTCAACTATTTTTAGACATTGAATTTATAACACTGAATTTTTATCCTCCAAATTTCCCTGCAAAAATATTCACCTGCAAAAGTAATGGACTTAAATGACACAAGCCAGAGCAATCAGCACTAGATCGAGTCGAGCGGCTCTCAGCCAATTAAATTACACTGTTTGATCACATGACACTGTTAGCCAGCAGTGTGTCTCCTAAAAGAGAGCTGTTTAAAGGTGAGTGATTAAGTTTTTCTCCTAAATAGAGATCATTACATAACGCCTAGTCCTACTTAAAATCCCATTCATTTTTATTTTATTTTATCATCTACTCGAACTGAAGAAAACGTTTGACTAACTCAAAGACAATTTCCACGCCTCCCCTGCCTGACCTGTCTGCAGAGGCAGTTTTGAATTTAGGAGCGGCAAGATGGCAGCGGCAAACCCTGGTGGTTCTCCGGTAAGTATATTTTTCTTTTTTTTTTATCATCTATCTTCAAATTTGTCTGTTGAAACGTTAATTTTATTTAAATCTGTTGCTCACGGATAAAGTACACAGAAGGGGTCTTTGCGCAACTGGTCTGAGGCGTGTCTCACTAAGCGCTACATGCTAGCATCCTGCTAACCAAGCTAACCTTTACATGCTGTGCTTTAGAAAATAGAATACTCGGTACAAAACCATACTCCGCAGATATTGATAGATAGACGAACACTGCAAATATAATGTTGGAAACGAGAACGACATTTAGTGAAGGGGTAAAATACACCATGAATAAAGCCATAGAATGAATGGCTGCCATGGTTGCAGAACGGCCTAATTTAATGACAAGACTGGGGAAGAGTGAGGTGAAGTGAACCAAAGCCACACAACACGGTCAGACAAGGCGGGAATAGGGCAGTGATCTGTCCGTCAGTATGAAGTTGGTGTGTGTTTTGGTGAACAAAAACTCGAGACCGCTAGCAGGAAGATGGGAGACTCGTGTTTCACTGGAATAGTGGTGAATTAAAACATCCTTTGTTGGGGAAATTTAGGTGTAAATACATCCATACAGGCGAGATTATATCCAGACTTTCAGAAAAGGATATGGTCTATATCTTTACAAATACTATCTAAACTTAAACAGATAGCATAAGTTAAACGGGATATTCCCTCTGCTTCTTCTGCTTCTCGTATACACCCTCAAGTTATGTTGACCAAGACATTATTTGGTTTCACAATGTGCAGCAGTATTTTTGGGGTATATTTTATGGCCTGAAGATGAAGATGATGACTGTCCTCTTCAAACTAAATGCAGAATCACAGGCTACATGAGGCATTTTATTCTAAATGGTAGGTTTGCCGTTTTGCAGGAGGGGAATGCCAATATGAGCTGATCAGAGCCAATATTATTGCAATGTTAAAAATATATTTTGTTTGGATTTCTTCAAGGTTGTTAAACCTCATATTTATTTCAAAGCTCAATGCTTAACTATACACTTTCTTTTTCTTCACAGCAACACCAAGTGAGCTGACAAATCTCCTAAAATTCTGGACTGGATGGGAGATTGTGCCAAAAAGTCTCACAGTGGAGCTAGTAGATGGCAGACTCTGGAATGGCAGATTGATCATCAGTATGCCAGTCCAGGAGCAAAGTGGCAGAGAGACTTGGAACCTCTTCAGTCCAGTCTGGTAAGGCACATTTCTCTGCAGTCATGTTAAATCTTTGTAAGTCAAAGTCGTTGATGGTTTTAGAATTGCTGAAGCATGAGAGTAATTCCAGCCTTATTTGGTATTTTTCCCTTTCGTTCATTTTCTTTATTATTTTCTATAATATTTTGAAGCAAATTCACATGATGTGCTCTTTTCATTTAGCTCGAATATGTTTTGGACCAAAACCTACCTCCAGGAGAACTCCTAGGGAAGGATGACAATATCTACCTGACTCGGGAAGACTTCTGGAGCCTGGGTTTGGAACACTCCATGGAATCTACTGTAAGTATATCTTGTTACTTTAGCTAATGTACCGCAAAGAAAATATCATGTAATGCAAGATTGTTGTGTTTCAGAAGTCACGTGAACCTCTGATCTTGTCCAAAATCACGGACTTTGACAACATCATTCGTTGTTCTCTCCATGTGGCATGCAGTCTGACGCCAGAAGACCCAAACATGCAACAAGCGACAAGCGGACCTTCAGAAGTGGAAGATCATGTTGACATCTGTTTGTGACAGAACCTTTGGATTCACTTTGTACGACGCTTTGGTCGTGTTTGTGTTAAAAACACCAAATAAAAAAGAAAAAACAATCTAAATTGTCCTGGATTTGTCTTGTATTTAAATCTACAGCAGTGAACCATGTAAAGGTGCTTTTTGATATCTGGACTGGACTCTGATTGGATGAGAGAAGCTGAGCTGGGAGTTGTCTCCAGCTTTTATATCTGCTTCCTTCTCGGCTGCACTATGACATTCCATACCGGATGGTGCACCATCCAGTAACTTCAAAGAAGAAGCCTCCAACACTCCTACTGGAACAGGATCCCGTGGAAGTTCCCGTCGAGCTAAAGGATGAAGAACCTGACACTGTGATTACAAGAGCTGTGTTCATGCCAGCCAATGTCAGTAGGCAGTGGTCAGAAGAGGAGCTGTCGTTTGTGAAGACGGACCCTTCAGTCAGGGTCAAAGATATATACCGTCAGTATGTGCAAGGCTGCAGGCATGGGCGCCCGGTCATGATGCTGGGAGATTTTGTGACAGTGCATGGTTTACCTGCGTGTGCTGAGTGCTCCCTAAAGGTCCCAGGAGGAGGAGGAGATGAGGAGGCAGCGGTCGGCTGGCTTTGGGCTGGGTTTTTGTGTGTGTGTGTTTCCTTTAGGGAAAAGATGTTCACATTGCTGATCTCTACATCGTGGCCACCGGGAAGGATCCACAAGTCAACCTGCTTCGTTGGTTGCCGGTACGTTTTTTGTTGATTTTTCTCCTCTGTGTGTATTTTTACTCATTTCTACCAATACCTGTAGGAAAACTTTAGGTCCAAGGACATCCTGCTTTTTCCAGCTTGAAGCAGGCAGGCAGGTGAAGCTGACCATTATCTGCTCTGTGTGAGTGCCCTTTGTCTTTCTTGCTCTGTTTTTTCATCTCATAGAAAATAATGGAGGTTGTCATGTATGATGATAACATGTCCATTTCAGGCTATATTGGTAACAGAGAGACAGATACTGTTTCTGGACTCACTTCGCCCTGGTGGTTTTGGAGATGATCTCTACCAAGCCATATTTAGGTTGACATTAAAGAAATGACAAGTTTTTCTGGCCTTGTTCAATGGCCAAGTGCGTTCTTTGGCAAGATCATCTAAAAGCAGCCTCGTTCTTAGGCTACTTCATGATAGGGATGCACAGATACTGGTTCCAGGCCCATACGGTTCAAATGGAATCTTATCCATATCTTTTGTTATGGATAACAAAGGGACTTTTATCATCACAGCGCAAGGGGAGGAGGTGGTGGAGTATTTGTGGTTGCATTAGAATGTACATAGCTATGAGTTTTCAAATAACTCATTACTGCTTGTATTTTTATACTTAAAATGATCATTTTTGTTTTTGCTGTCAAACAGACACTTAATTCTGTTGTTATTAACCACAATTTAGAAAAATATTTATTTTCCTCAAACCGTTTCTGGTATTTATGCAGCCCATTTGCATTGTGTCTACATGCACTTGTATTGTAAATGCTAGATTCTAATGAACAGTCTCTACTTGATAAAAACAAATATAGCAAATATAATTTGTATACCTGAAACTGGCAAATTTTTCATTGAAGTTGTCGCTAAAGCATACAACTAAGTTACAAAATGTACTGTTTACAGAAGGATTTTCTACAAGCAGTTTCATAATCACAGTATATGAAAAGCATCATAATAACCGATACAGATAAAACAGCTTCTGAGAAGATCAATGCCATGTGCAGAATACTTAACAATAACATAATCTAAACAGATGGCTGAAAAAATAAAAACCTATCACAGATCACTACACTGACATTACATTTAAATTTACTTTTCAGTTTTCTGCTGTAAAGAAAGTGAAGTCAGGGAAACAACATGTTCCCCTTAAAAATCTCCAGCTAAAGGAGGTAAGTTCTATATTGAAAATAGTTAAACTAATGTGACAAATTTCACATTGCTGGTACAGAATGTACGAGGCTGTGGGCTTTTTTTTTCTTATTTACTGGACTTGTTATTATTTAATTAATAAATCTTTAATGCTGTCATGTTTGTGATTTCAGGATGGTTATACCATGACAGTCTGCCTCTGGAGGGAGGCAGCCGTTTACAATTTGAACGTGGGAGACCACATCAGCCTCTCCCACATGAAGTGGAGCCAGTCCTCGTATGGCTTACAGCTGCACAGCACAGCATTTACAAGGATTGAGGTATGAAGAAGCTAAACAAACGTTTAGAAATAGGTTTTCAGATTTGACATAATATTATATATGGTCCGGGGAAATACACATGAAGAGATGCAGGGAGACCGAGGGGAAACAACACAGACGAACCAGCAACTACTATGACAGAAGACACAACTTAAATACACTCAGAGAACACAGGGAGATTACACACAGGTGAGGAACACAGCTGGGAGTGATTAACGTGACGAGACTAGGGAGTCAAACTGAAAACACTCACATAAGATGCAGACCTTCACAATAAAACAGGAACTTACACATGAAAGGACACAAACTAAGAAACGCAGACTAGATACAGGAACACACGGGCAGAACAGAGTAAACACCAAACAGAGGAAGAACAGAACCAAAATCGCAATAAGAGAAAACACAAAACGCTGGGTCAAAAGGACCCAGAATCATGACAATAAATTAAAAAGAATGAGTTTTTTATTTTTTTTATCAGTATTTATAATTTTTAATGACATTTTGTTAAGTTCTGTACCATAGTTAACAGTTATAGTATTTTCCAATGTTAAGTATTTATATTTTAAAAATTCTAATAATCTTATATTTGTGTTTGTTTTTAATTTTTTTAGAACACTGGAAGGCTAGAAATGTTTTTCTTTTGAAAAGAAGAATAACAGAACAGATCAAGGCTTAATGTTTTATTTTGTAGATAATAAAGGGGGCAGGTCTATCAACAATATTTTATTTGTACCTTTTGAAAAAGCCAACAAATTCCTTTTATTATTAATTTTAACACTCCTGCTCTTTTAATTTTTAATTCAAATGATTGTGGAAGGGCAAAAAGATGAACTCGAGATTTCTGGGTGGATATGATATCAATTAGAATAGAAAAGAATAGAATAATTCTTTAATTGTCCCACAAAGGGAAATTTGGTTGTATCAGCAGTACAAAACAAAAACAAACACACATATACAAACAGAACAGGACACAGAACAGAAACATGATTTGTACATTTTTACATCATGGACAAAGCAAAGCAGAGTACAGTACAGTTGTTAAAATTAGAGTACAAACAGTGCAGGATACTGAAAAATGTTTAAATAGTTAGGAATATTTAGAATAATTAGCAAAATGCAGACTTTGTATCGTACCTGTGCATTAAAAAGTAGACATGTAGTAGACTGTTTCTTCTAACTTTTTGCCTGTTTTCTTTCTTTTTTATTTTCATATGTTGTCTTTTCATTGTGTGATGGGATTTCCGGCTCTTTTTAGAAAACCAGCTCTTTCGGTTCGGCTCACTAAAAAGAGCCGGCTCTTTCGGCTCCCAACCGGCTTTTACGGTTGTTTTGTTGCTTTAATTAATTTATTATTAACAATAATATAAAATTATGCACAAAAGGAATTACTAATGTACAAAAAAAGTGGTTTTATTTTATATGTTTATATATAAATATATGCGGTGGCCCCTAGAGACAAAACACATACAAACTCCAAGAAGCACATACAAACTCCAAAACACATTTCTAGCATTAACTGAACTTCCAAAACAGAGCTACCTAGATCACGTAAATTACACAATTGAAAGCATATGTGTATTGTTTAAGTATTTATACACAAGCACTATATTCATATATAGTCAAATAATTAAAAATTAAAAAAAAATAAAATAAAGTTCATTTACCTGTTATTACCACACACCAAATCCAGCCGTTGGTACTTGCTAGCTTGTGTAGCCACTAGGTAACAAAAGCGCAACACTGCCACTAGCATCCTGGAGCACTTCTGTTGTCTTTTGTACGTGTTTTGAGTTTTTACGTGTTTTGGAGTTTGTACGTGTTTCGGAGTTTGTACGTGTTTTGGAGTTTGTACGTGATTTGAAGTTTGTATATGCTTCGTCTGTAGAGGCCACCGTAAATATACTTTTATTTATTCACTCCACATAAAATGTAATAAATAAATCATATAATACAAAAATCAACTAGTCACATTTCAACTTTTAACTATTTAAATTTTCAGCTTTTTCCTTTTACAAATTTAAAGTGAAACAACACAAAACACTGCAAACCACAACACAATTAAATATAAATTATAATATGAAAACAAAAAGAACATGCATATTCTCTGTCATATGGGCCTGCATGAATAAACTTTCTGAATCCTTTATCATCTGCAACTGAAAATAGTTGTGGATGATTAAATACCTTTCTAATGTGACATTGTTGTCCCTGGCTCTTTCTCTGTCTCTCCCTCCTGCTCTGTTCCTGTGCTACTGCGAGTGTAACTACCGCCCCTCCCCCCTCTTCCCAGCGTAAAGCACAAGGCTTGCATGCGGAGTGAAAAAAAGTGCGAGAGAGAGAGGGTGAGAGAAAGAATGTTTATATGTTCTCTCTCTCTATATATATATATATGTATATGTGTGTGTATATATCATATATATTGTATATCTTTTGTATATAAACTATAAACTTTCATCTTCAGACAAAAATTATATGACTTAAATTACTTAAAAATTCTGCCTGGTCTTGTGTCTCTTTGTTTCTGTAACATAAATAACGAGCCAGCATTTTCCTCACGACACCACTGATCAGCTCTATGGACCCTCAGTTTACCTGTACACATCCATCTCACCTGTCAGCTGTTTAATACCTGCTGATGATTCAGGAAGCACGTCCACGTGTCCTGGTGTTAGTCTCCTGTTTATTGCAGCTGCTGTTCAATATAATGTAATGTCGACACAAAATTGTGCACAAAATAGGTAAATGCAGTTTGTTTCCTGAGCGCAGACCTGCTGTTTCCCTCAGAGTGACTGTTCTGGGTTAAAAATGACAGACTTTAAAAGGAGGCGAGATGGACACTGAGAAAATTACACAGCACTTTATTAGTGGCTGTTATCCAGTCACCAGCTTTAGCAAACACCAGACTGTCAGGTGACGTTTACATCACTGTTTTATTTGTTTCTTGGAAAATCATTTTGGCTCAGATTAAAGTCAAGTTTTATAACTGTACAGTTTTACTCAAGTTTAATGTCATACTGCAGAATACGTGTTAGACTGAACCATTCGCTTTTCTTTATTATCTGCTGTTCGTATGTACAGGATTTTTTTTAACCATGAATTTTGAAATAAAACTAACCTGAAAAATCGTTTTTATACAAGGAGAAGAGAGAAAGCGCTATCCACCAGGAGAAGCGTCTGAACCAGCATGCTGTTTGTGAATACTGAAAGACTCCAGCCTGTCTAGAAATACTTACATTATCTGTTTTTTAATATTTATTCAACTGTATTCTAAGCACAATTATCTGTTAGAAGTTTTGGGGTTTACTAAATTAAGAAAAAAATCAGATTACTGTATTTTCCGCACTATAAGGAGCACTTAAAATCCTTTAATTTTCTTCTGGTTGAATTCTCACTGACCACAAACCCATTTTATGTGATTTTATGTTTCAAAAAAACTGCCCAAAACTGTTTTAGTACGACTTTGGTAAGCTACAAAGCTGAGCATTACCGCTACCGTAGTCACGAGCTTCCCAGAGTAATCTGGGTCCAAAACGCCGTCCTTTAAGGTCCCAAAGTCATACAAACGCTGCGGCATCACTGAGAGTTAAAAACTGTCTAATTTATTTCATCTGTAATGATCAGCATTGCTGCTTTATGGTGTAACAATTAAGTTTAACATCCAGGCATCCATGAAAACATTCATACATTCTTATATAGTTATATAGTTCTATACTGTGTATTGTGTA